ATTCAGAGGGAGCTGAGCCTAAACTTCTAGCCAAACTTGCTCTAACACCAGGACAACCAGTAAAAGGGATTTTATTTATTATATTACTTTCTATGGTACTGGTCCACTGCCAACCCTCCTTTTTCTTCTTTTTTGGTGGAGCTGTATCGTTACTAGTTTGAGTTTTGGACCTTTTAGTAGGCTTAGATGGTTGTGAAATAGCTTTTTTTCCTATAGGCCTACCTCTTCCTCTAGACCTGCCCCTAACAGGTTTACTTTTAGGCCTAGGGTCAGGAAAGCTAGGGTCGTCAGCTTCCTCACTCGGTGTAGGTGAGAGGGCAGGCACGATTGAAGATGCAAGCTGGTCAAATAATTCAGGCCTAATAGGCAAATCTAAATCAGATTGGACATTTGGAGGGGTCATAGGCCTATGCCTGCCACTATCTATATCATTTATAGGCCTAGAGTCAGGGAAACCAGGGTCGTCAGCTTCCTCACTCGGTGTAGGCGAGAGAGAAGGCGCGCTCATACTACCGCGGTATAACCGATCAAGAAACTGGACTGATTTAGGCAATTCTTCATCACGTGATGGAGAAGATACATGCTGATCAAATATTTCAGGCCTACTAGACAAATCTGAATTATATTGGACAGTAAGGGCATCTGGAGGGGTCATAGGCCTAGCATAGCTGCAAGAAGGCTGTTCAAGCAACAACTGGTCACTTTCTAATGGCCTAGGCCTAACACAATTAGTATTATGTTCTGGGGAAACTGTGGTCTCATAATCAATAGGCGTATTAGACTTATTACTCACTTGAATTCTGCTCCCTTCCAAATCATCATCATCACTCCAACCACTCTCCTCAAACAAGTCACAATCACTGTCACTGTCACAATCCCCTATAAGTTTTATGATGTCACTTTCATCTAACTCTTTTCCACATTCATCCACGAATACCAAGTTATTTTGAAGACTCATCGTATTATACAAAAGCTTTTCAATTGAATAATATAGTAAAACAAGATACTGTAGCTCAATCTTTATCACGACGAAGTGAAACACGACATGATAGGCCTAATAACTCAGTCATTATAACGACGAAAAAGTAAAATACTGATAAAAACTTACACTAAGTAAATTCTATAACTTATTTTATAAGATAACTACACTTTTCAATAAAATAATAAAGTAAAACAAGGCTCTAACACAATGTTTACATCGTCGAAGTAAACACAACAACGTATCAGCTGTGAAACCAGAGTAGACGTCGTCAGCTGCTAAGTTGCACCATTTCAACTTCAGTTTTTTTGCCGATTGGACTGGACTGAGATGACGAAAATATAACCAAAAGAAAGCCTGGAAATCATAGAACAAGAAGCATATGCGATCTATTGGATTTCTGGGGAACTAACTCGGCACAAACAGGTTTTAATAGCGGACGGCGATTCGCCGTCGCTTCACACAATGGCTAACGGGAGCGCGACGGCGGATCGCCGTCGTTGTAAGCGAAGGGGATAATAGCCTAATCCCAAAATTTGATTACTGCGACAGAACTCACAAACTCAGAAACTGGTTGCTCTGGCCATGCCCACTGAACTGAGCGTTGCCAACCTTGTAGGACAATATTATCATATACTGTCACATGACGAAATGATAGCAGTGGTTATGAAGACTTCATGTAATTTTTGAAGGGTAATATTTTCTAGACGTAATTGTCAAATTGGAATTATTCGAAATGGCTATTTATATAATATTTTAAAAGATATTAAATAAAATAGGTGTGTTAGTGTAACAGTAAAACATAATTATACTCTCCCTTTTCTAAGTAATTTGATTGATTACGTCTAACTGTACAACAGCAGTTAAATTATTATAGTTTCTAGCTCAAATATCTGCCAGTGTTGAACATTTGACTAACATTGAGAAAAGAATCACTCAACTAGGAACACAAAACTTATATAATGTTGAACAAAAAAAAAACACGAATAAGTTCTCTAATACAATTCTTAAATTAACTATTAATATTGTAATAGTTCTGTAGTTACTAACAATAATATTACAGCTGGTGACAAATCAGCTGGCACTTGGCCTAGCGCGGGCAGTTTAGGTGTGGGGGGGGGGGGTGGAAGTAAGGAAAAGGCTGGACTGCAAATATATTCTGCTGAATCTACGGGGTTGACTCCCCGTATTTCACGTACTGAGCGCCTTCAGGAGGTCACGAGGACAGTCAACACAACCCGCATGATGGCATATGATGTTTTTGATCTAGATGCTAGTACAGGGTGTATACTACATTCTGGATAAAAAATTCATGGACAGTTCCCGTACATTTAAGGACCTTTGTCGGTAAGATTACAGAATAATATTCCTGATTTGTCAAACTGTATTAATCTTGTTCTTCATTTTAGTTGTTCCAGAAAGAAAAGTAAATAATAATAGACAAGAATTAAATTTAAAAATAGAAACTTATTGTTTAGTAAACAAACATATACTTTAGGTACAGCTTTTATGGTGTAACAGAAAAACGCAATCATTGTCTCCTGCAATAGCGACAAAATCCTAAATATCTCCATTGGTCACAGAAACATCATAACATAGCTTATCCGATCCAGGCGGATTAATTTGGCATTATTCGTCCTGGCATAACATTAGGTTCTCGACTACTTTAAAAAAAAAATTTGTAATGCATAATGAATATATTATTGTAACTCGGTTCTAGGTACTAAATCGGTATGGTAAGCGGCTACCAGTAAGCACAGAGTACGATTATTGTCTTTTCATCTGCAAAGTTAATATCGACACATAGCTATCATTAGTTTATCTTAGGCTCAATTACATTTTCTTAGTATATTTTACAGCACTTTCAAAGAATCAAAATACCCAGGCCTAGGCCTAATTATTTAGGAGGGCCTATATAAACTGAGTAACAAACAATGAGGTTAATATCAGTAAAGTCACTACAATATCATCATTCTAGTTCATAAGATTTAGATTGCCCTTAAAGCATACAATAAATACACAATAAATAAATATGGGAAATAAAAAAATTGAGACCTGACCGCCAACAATGTACAAAGATACAGAAAATGCAATGGCATAATTTGAAACCAAGTAGGCCTACGTAGTGATCAAAATTTAATGCAAACAACAATGCTTTTGGTTTTGTCAATTGAAAGATAAAATATCCATAAAAAAGGGTTTAACTTACAAAATAAGACTGTAGATTAGTTACATGTTTTATATGAAACCATAAATAGTATTATGGCACTAGGCAATGGCCAGCGGCAAATTGAAGTACAAGTAAGAAGTGAAATTTAACAGCCATTATAAAACTATTATTTCCATGATAAAATATGTTTGGGATCTAATAATGATTACTCTAGTAATAAATAAATACTTGTAAAGGAATAAAAGTGATTCAACTTTTATGAGCTAAGCTACTACTGAGTCAACAGTTCTTGGAAGTACTTGACTTGACACTTGATTGTCGTGATAAAATATTAATGGGTTTGAGACTGCTAATGGGGTTTTTATTGCATAATTACTCTAGTAATAAATTATCAAAATGTAAACAAACATCTGATAAACCTTTTATGTGCTCCTAACCAACTAGCGATTGATAAAATTATGGCCCATTAAAATTTAAGGACATAGTCTGGCATTTAAGGACATTAAAATTCATTGTTGTAGCCCCGGAACTGTAATATATAAAATATCTGGTTTTACATTACCTTTATCAGTTCCAAAAGTAACTTTCGTCAAGTGTGTGTTACATGTTTCGGCGAGCTGCCATTGTCAAACACTTCACCCTTACTCACAAAAAATAGCTGCTTACAATCGTATGATTCACAGATTGTTAAACGTCCCTCTAAATTCGTGTAATGCATAATGAATATATTATTGTAACTCGGTTCTAGGTACTAAATCGGTATGGTAAGCGGCTACCAGTAAGCACAGAGTACGATTATTGTCTTTTCATCTGCAAAGTTAATATCGACACATAGCTATCATTAGTTTATTAGTTTATTTATTAGTTTATTTAGCAACCCCTTGCTAAAACGTGTACCGGCAATGTTACGTATTCATGATAGGCCTATCAAACTACATTTTTATTGTTTTTATGTCGTACGTGTCGTGTATGTTGTATGTCGTGTAATGTGTTGTGAAAACGAAGCTATTCAAGCGGATCTACATCTTCCTGTATTGAAGTGTTTGACAATGGCAGCTCGCCGAAACATGTAACACACACGTTGACGAAAGTTACTTTTGGAACTGATAAAGGTAATGTAAAACCAGATATTTTATTTAAGGACAATTCCCTGTACATTTCATGGCCAGTAAAAAATTAAGTACAATTCCCGGTTTTCCCGGTTGGTAGACACCCTGTAGTAGCAATCGGTCAAGTGCCGGCTTAGGTGTCACGAGCTGTACCTAGGTTTCATGAAAGTTTTTGATTCATTAGTTGGCCTATTGTTAATTTGATTTCACTGGGTATTTAGAATTAACCACACAAACCATTTCCATACTTGTTTGAGAGAGATTTTCTACTAGCATTTAGTTAAAAGTAAAGTAATGGGTGCGTTGGGACAACCCCTTGCTAGACTGGCTTTAGATAGCCACATTTGACTGTTCTCTCAATTTTCACATGCTGAAATACCCCCATTATTATGTCGAGTGTGTCAAATCCTCATACTGTAAATCCCACTGATACCCCTTGTGTCTTAGTCTCATTCGTAGTGGAAACAGATACCATTGTATGTGAATGGTTTTGAAAAATGTTTAAATAATATTAGTTTAATTCATGTAAAATTTAATAAATGTTTATTATAAAACTTTGAATGCTGCAAAATTATATTAATAAAAATTCAGATGATTATTGTTCAGTGTTGCCCAACATTCCCACTTATCCAACCTTGCCGTAGCCAAAAGGTTGTCTGTTGGGTTAGGACATGTTAGACTCTCCATATTTGTGGTTTGTAAACATGGCGCTTTCCACATGTAAAAAAAAAATTGTAATTACCTTTTAGCAGAAATTCCAGTAAGAGACGACTTGGAACCAAAACGGTTTGGGCTTGTCTCTCGGCTTGCTCCCTGACTCCTAGGAGTTTGAGGTCTTCGGTCTATCAGCTGTGGGACATATCCGGAGTTGTAGGGCTGATACCCCCTAGATGATGGTGATCCAGATCGGCTGGATGCTGTTGAACCAACCACAGATAATTAACTCACAATATTAATAAACAAAACAAAAACTAAAACTTTTAAAGTAAATAATAATAAAAACCTCTACTTAAAAACAGGTTTGTTTTAGTGAGAGAGACAGCGTATAGTTCATAAGAGATTGCAAACAATGGCAGCGCTAACGATTCAGAGGCTTCTTAAAAAAATGAGGCCCCATATAAGCTATGTATATATAAATCGCCGTTATGATTATTACACATGTTTTATTCTTTAATGGAATGGGAATTAAAAAAAAAAAAACAGTTTTACATACATATTAATGGTGTAAAATTCGGACAGTCAGAATGCAAGTACAGTAGGACTCATATCCGACTACAAAGAGACCAGGCCATAGCCTGAACAGTCAAAACGTCGGATATTGAAAGAAGCACATCTTGCGGCCTCGGCAACACTGATGATTGTTTCCCGCGATCACAGCAACACCCATTAGGCCCAGCGCACACGGTGTGACTGTTTTACATTAACTGTTGCAAACCAGTTGCGTCTGGAACCAGTTTGCAACTGAAACAAAACTTCTGTCCGCACACGGTGTGTCTGTTTTACAACTACAGTTGCGTCTATTAGGCAATCAGTGGAGTGCAAATATAGTGCAGTTACGTTGTTTTAAGGCCTTAAGTGCGCTTACTACGTCGGGATCAAACGCAGAAGACGTTATTAGCTATTATCAATACCGAAGACAGTGAAGGGTACTGAGAGAGCAATGGGTTCACTCTTATTTGAGCAAGAATGTTAGTACTAGGCTGTTTGTAGCAGCTAGAGCTAGTCGTATAGGAAATTATAAACACTAAAAACATTATACGGCCGTCAAAATTCCACCAAAATACCACCAAACACCTCAAAAACACCCCGTGGTCTCGTGCAACTGAAGTCTGCAACGCAACTGCAACGTCGGGCCCACGGTTGCATGTGACTGGTTTCAAACATTTTTGGAAATCGCAAACAACCAGTTGCGTCGTGTGCGCCTCCCCATTGCAATACATTGCCGAGGTCACAAAACAGTTGCACGTGCAACTGGTTTGCAACGACAGTTGTAAAACAGTCACACCGTGTGCGCTGGGCCTTAGCATATCTTGCAGTCTTGATGACACTAGTAATCGTCAGTCTTCAGTTGTCAGTTGTCAGATTACTTATGTTGCACAATCGTAGCCACAAAAAAAATTTACTTGTTAACCTGAACAACAATTTACTAAGAGAGTGAAATGAATAATTTTACCCCACCATTTCAGATGAGGCCCCTAGTGGTAGGTCGTGGACATCTTCTTGTGTCCTCTCAACCATTGAAAAATAAAATGGTTGGCTCAAAATTTGTTTTAAAAAAATATTTGAATAAACATTCTAAACAAAATTTTTAATTACATTTTTTACAACAGAATACCAGCAGCAGTAACAAAAATGGCATTAAGTTTTTCTGCTTTTTAAAAGATGTTATTAATTCCAATGAAGTTTCAACAGCTAATGTAATGTATTAAAATGGTTTAGTTTTTTTGGAAAAGCAACTTTATCTCAAAATTGAGGATTGAAAGATAGTAGTACGAGGTACTTACGTTGGCTTTGAGTGACATTCGCTCGACTGCGAGTACGACCTAGGCGCTCGGTTACAAAACCGCCAGACGCTGGTCCCGAAGTCGTGTTGGTACTAGTTTTCTTTGGACGAGCTGAAAAAAACAAGACACAAATACTACAGTACCATTTTTTAGTCATTGTGAGTGTAATCTGTGAGTACCATTTCACATGGTAATTTCAAAGACTAACAAAATGTGAGTCTAGTGTTTGAAAACCAGGCCCAGTTCAAATGCAGCTCCCTGCCGCAGGCAGAAATGGTATAGAATGTAAGAATGATGAATGCTATTTTTTTATAGTTTTTTTGTCTCTTAACCTTTCATTTTCCTGTCCACATAGGCCTCAGGCTGGTGCGTGGACCGTATCCAGCAAAGCAAGGGGTGAGCCAGTACATTAAAAGAGTTGAACTGTACTGATAAAATGTAGTGGCAGGTACCAGCATCCGAACTCATGACATCGCTGCCTTGGATCCAAAGTAAGTTGCGCTACCGACTTACCTACTAACTAAGTACTACTCTACCGACTAAGTAATATGTAGATCACCTTAGACTGTTAATAATCAGACTGAAAAAACAAAAATGGACAGTTCTCAAACGCAAGGACTACCTCTGAATGAATTAAAGATCTCTCTTCAATAAAATCGAAAAAATTTTTGTCAACTGAACAATAAATAAAAACACACACACGGACATTAAAAGGCCTAACATTAAAAAGACAGTAAAACAAGAAATAATACATATCTACTTTCTTTCAACTACAACTAGACTAATGTCAACAATATATTGTGAAAATCCTGCATTTACCAAACCACTTATTCAATTTAAATACATTAGATGAATTCAATATTTACAGGTCCCTTAAATTTGAGGAACATTATTATTATCAACAAGATTTTATTTACATCAGATTATATTTATGATTTGGAATTAAGATTCTAATGGTTCGGATGGATGTGTATGAAATCATCAACTGATAAAAACAAAGAAACAACGCCATCATTGATGATTGGGAGTCTATACATAACTTCCGCCTGATCAGATCACATTGTATACCACACATTAACCGTATTATTTCTTGTTTTCTTGTCTCTTAAATGTTTGTCTGTGCATAAACGATTGTTCATGTTGACAACCTATAGATAAAGCAACAAGCATAGACATCCTGTACTGACTTGAATATGACTTGGATGTCAGTTGAATCAAGTCACAGTTGTAAAATTCTGGATTGCATAATTGCAGGTATTTACACCAATGTTTAGTATTTAAAGGTAATTAGGTAGCTAAAATTCAATATAATGAATTTAATAGCTTTTATTTACCTGAATCATCTCCTAGTTGCAAAAAAACAGATAACCATTACAATATAAAAGCATTAACTGATTAACAATAATACCTGTTTTTAAGCATGTATAAAATAAGAAAACAAATTTCTATGATACTTAATTTTAAATATTGTTTTAATTTATTAATGGAGATAGAAATATAAAGTTTGTAAACATCATTTTCTTTTACAGTAACAATTTTTCTTCCAACTTTCTAGAAAAAAAATTTAAATCTATTGAACCGACTGGGAGTTGACCAACCAATGGTTAAGTGATGTTATGGATGGTAAGGAGGTAGGAGAGGAGAGGACCTCACCTTGACTGACAGTACGTTCAGAGTGCACACCGATTCAGATTTTCGGCGGCAGGAATGGCACTTGCATTCAAATGGTAGTAGCCATAGTGGCTGCCAGTTGCCGAGCCCGCGTGCAGGCATCTGCTTACCGGAATTAATTCTTCATTCTGGTTTCAAATTCCGATTCAGATATTGCTCATACACATACTATTTAATTAAATAAATTTAGTTTTTAGAGTAGAATATTTAATTTTTCATCCTACCTTTTAGGGTTACCACTAAACACTCTTTGGGAAAGATTCTTTGTTTACGTAGGTTACACTAGTTTCTTACAATACAATGTTCAATTTTAATAATGAGTTTCGGGCTTTATTCAACAATATAGAAAGAACCGTGCTCTATTATTTCTAGCTAAGGGAAATGAGATATACTATCATGAACACCATTTATCACTGGCTGAAACTTCACAACAGTTTCAGACGCTATAATTTTACATGTTAATTCCTCATCTGACAATTTCATAACTACGATTGACTAGCTAACCGAGTAGTACCAGCGGCGTATTTCCTGCTTCCACCGTGGCCACCCACAAAATATCTGACTTAGATTAAATATGCGCCGAAAATATGAATTAGATTCTGAATCTGTATGTCGTGCACTCTGGACGTACCGTGAGCTATAAGGTGCACACCATTACGTTGCATTGCAATGCAACATAGCGCGGTTTTTCAATGCCAGTTTTTCTGCAAATCAATAACATTCAGAAACAACACGCAGGAATTTAAAACCCAATTGCCATTCATTAATTGTTGGAAAATATTGAATTAACCGTGATATTTTGTCATTTATTATATTGCTGCAATGTTCGTTAGAGATTCTAAATATTTAACCCCAAACTTATTTGGAGATAGATGCTGGTCCAATTTTTGAACAAGTTAGACCTGTCCCTTTAGCAGTGAGAGATAAAGTAGGCAATGAATCAGATCATTGTACAAAGAATGGTGTACTTGAAGAAATAAAATATTTAGAAACCAAATGTACACAGCCTCAGTTTTCGGTTACTGGAGTCTCTTGTTCACCAGTGAGATGTGTTCTGAATGCTGAGATCCAGCCAGCAAAATCAGTGCAGGCTATATCCATGCTTCACAGCCAAATCTTGTACGACACTGACAGTAAACTCTCAGTAAGAATGTACCTGATAGGCCTCCTGAGCTGCTCCTGCAATGAGCATTGGTATCGCCGTACACAAAAATTCCTTGCGAGATGTCACCAAAAATCTCTCTAACATCTCTTTCTAATGGAGTTTACAACAGATAGAGCTGAGGAAGAAAGACTGGGAAAGAACTTTGGCAAGTGAAATAGGTGGTCGAGTTTTTAAGAATGACGCTGACCAGCTATAGATCAAACCTTTTTTTACAACCCGAGGAAGGAGCTTAACTCAACAGAGAGGTGGAGGGTATAATGGATTAGTTTAGGAATAAATCGGAGAGGTGGAGGGTATAATGGATCAGCTTATGAATAAATGTTATTGTTTTGTTTTAGCTTGTTAATAGTTTGTGTTTTATGATAAAATGTAAAATGTTGTCGTTCTTAATTTCATGAATATATATAGATCAAAAGGCTTGTATATTTAGTCTCTAAATGAGTTTAATGAATTCTAGTATCAGCGTTAGGTCTTATACTTAAAGAATCAACCCATCCAAGACTAGATATAATTCTAAGAAGGAATATTATTTTGTACAACGTGTAAAAATGACAAATAGATAATGTGCACAAGAAATTATTTGGTCACAATTTTCTTTAAAAGATTGTCAAAATGTGTTTTAGGGTTAAAAGCTCATTAATTACTTGATGAAATGCTAAGGAATAATGTTTCTAAACACAGTCATCCTTAAAAAAATTTTTAAACTGTTTTTGTTGAAATTTATAAGCTCTAATTTTTGTTGGTATCACATGTTTTGGTAATTTACTGTTTGTTCACATTGTTAAATTTGATGTTATTTATTTTTTAGTAACCAGCTTGTTGTACGTTTCCATTTAAAATTTGTTGACATTTAATGAATAGTTTAGAGTTAGTTTTATGAATATAAGTTTTACAGAGGTAAACATGCAATTCCTTTTAAACTGAATAAGACTTATTCCGATTAAACATGCAATCAACTGAGGCAATACCCAGATTAATAAAACCAACCTATTAATAATTCTTTCGACTCTCTATCATAGTTATATTTCTATCATGCAAAACCGTGTTTTGTTTACAAGCTCAGGAACCTGACACCACTTACGTAGTGATGCGCCAGAGCCCACCTTCTGGCGAGCCAATTGCGCATACTGCTGGCGTGCATTGGCCCTTTGTACGGCGTGCAGGTCTATAGCGCTGTTGGACCTATTAGTATGAACAGTCCCCGAATGTGATGGTTGTACTCGGGGGATTTCTGAAATCATACACAGCGATCTCAACCTCTATACATTCTAATAAGTTGTGACAGTTAATTCCCAACCTTAACAAAGACACATAATTTAACAACAACCGGAATGGTTCGACCATGAATGAATGATATGGGATTCTATAACTCTTGAGACACAAATTATGATTTACCATGTGTTTTTTTAATAATGAACTATGGAATAAGTGTATCTGATTTAGCTGTCCAAGCAAAAAAATCTTTGAAGAAGCTATCAAGCTATAGCTAGATCCCTAAAGGAACAAACTGGAAACCATTTTTAGTGGTGGACGAGAAGTGGCTTTTTCAGTCGAGTAAAGTCAAGTCGACCACAAAAACATTGTTAGTTTATCGTTTTTAAATATTAGCCTAGTCATATTTTCATGAAACGAATGTGATGAGATCCAAACAAAATCCGCTTCCACTATGTTTTTTATATAGTGATATAATCAATTAGTATTTTTAACTAAAAAATGTCAGAGTTTATATTTGATACTGTACCAAGAATTATTTTCATAGAAATGCGATTAAAGATACAGGAGCAATTGATAGAAGTAGTAAAAAGTCATATATTGGTACAGTAATGTTTTATAGTTTTTAGTAGAATAACCTGTTTGAATTACAGTTATCAGTAAAATGAGAAAGATTAGCTAGAAAATGCATTAGCTCAAGTAAAATGATATAGCTTTTACTCACAAACTTAAAGGTCAATATTTACATATTTGGACTAGACTGCCACATACAGAGGCTTTTTTTAAGATTTAGAAAATAAAGCCTTAAAACTTTTGGGGATAAATATTGATTCAAAATTAAACTCGGGATCCCATATAGAACATGTATGTAAAAAAATATCCAAGGTTAGTTATCTTATCTGGAAACTAAGTGATTTTGTTTCTGTACCTTAGAATGGCTTATTTTGGACTTCTGGAATCACACATAACCTACGGTCTCCTCTTATGGGGATACTCACTGTTTGTGAGTATTTTATATTTGTATATTTAAAATTAAAAATTAAAATTAAAGTTTGTATTTTTTTTTCATTAATGCACATCAAAATGAATTTACAAGAATTTGTAACAAAAGAGAGCCTACACAACCACAACACAAGAGGAAAGGTGAGACTTGATATTCCAATGCACAGATTAGCCAAAACTGGGTCATCTAAACAAATTCACTGCATTAGATTTTTTAATAAACTTTCTTCAAATGCTAGAACTGCACTAGTCAATGTTTTCAATGTTTTCAAGAAGAAAATTCATGATTGGCTATTAAAAAATCTGTTTTATTGTTTAACTGAGTTTTTAGAGTGTCCTGTGATCCTAGATTAATTTGTAGATAGAATTGACCAAGAAATGTTGTTGTTATTGTCAGTTATATAGGTTTATGATTGTAATATGTGTAGATGTTCTTTTCCTTTACTATTATGATAGATTTAGCCTATATTGTATGACGAAGCCTATTTCATGTAATATAATCAATGGTGAATCAAGATTTCTGATTTCTATATTGCCCCTCAATACATTTTTGAATTAGAATGTTTCTAATCAGTATCCAACTCTGACAGCAGTATCAAAACTATCATTAACATCAAAATGAATTATGAGTTTAAGAAAAAATAAAATTCTTACATATCTCTTTTCTCAAAATTGAGGGAATAGCCTACAGTTAGACAAATAAAATTGGATAACCACTAAATGAGATTCTCATGTCTCAAGGTTACCCTCAACATATCATTAGTTTATCTTAAGCTCAAATACATTTTCATAATATATTGGACAGTTCTTTCAAAAAATCAAATGGTCCAGGTAACACCAAAAGATGGTCAAAAAACACCTGCATAATCTTTAATAAAATCTTAACCTACCAATTAAGGGGCTTGAATTTTAGAGCACTTGGAGCTGTTCAACTTGACATTAAAACTTGATTACACTACACATCAGTACTGAGTACGGCTAGAAGAAGGTATTTTATTCTTTAAAGTATTTATGAGGTAGCCATCAATCAAGTTTCTTCTGATGGTGTTTTACTATTATTATTTTTATTATTTTAACTATTAATACTTTATTAAAAATATTTGTTCTTTAGTTTGAGACATATAGATTTGAAAATTTGTTCACTATTCTCCGGTCAGTTTTATTGATGTTTTGTGGTGATTTTAATAAATAAATAAACAGAAGATAGCAGTAAGCTGTTAAGAACAAGTCTGTTTTTTTGATGAATGAGTGACTGTTTAACTGTTCTTAACTATTTTGTCCGTTCCTTACTTCAATTTAACAATTAATTGCAAAGCATAGCAAGTACAGCAGAAGCTAGAGGCAGATACACTCACAGATGAATTTTAGAGGTTGCACTTCTTTCCAAAGCAGATTACTTAAATAATTATAAAGATCATAAAAAACAACAACAAAAAACCTATGACAAACAACACAAATCAAAGTAAACAAACAAAGGACACTAAAAGTGATTTCAGAGGAGGAAAGAAAACCACCTTCTGATTAGATGAAAAAGTAAAAACAGAAGACAAGAAGAAAAGAATTCAAAGTAAGGACAACCTATCTGGGAGGTAGTCGCGACTTGTCTTCCACCAAATTACATGTATAGTTACTGTCTGGTCGATCAGTTTTCAATGTTTCGTTTGGTTTATTTTTTATGTCCCGTGTTATAGGTATAGTTCAAAACGTCTAATGAACTCCACCATGATAATATATACACACCAAAGGTTACACTCTGCGTAGCAGGGAATATCTGGAGTCGTTAACTACCACCAATCGCTATGACAGTATCCAGGTAAATGACACTTTTATTAGTTAATTAAGATGACACATAGGACATTCCATCATGATACTGTCTCAGTTTTTGGCCATGTTAAAACCGTTATTCCTCATCATGCAGACCACATCACACTGAGTCTGTGGTACTGTACTGTGGTTAAGCGTACCTTCATTTGTAGTTTTTTGCTTGATTTTTACACAAAACCCACATTGCAGCAAACCTGCAAGAAATCTAATTTGTAGTTTTTTGTATTTAGTTTTTATTAAAATGGGTCCAATTAAGAGTAGTTTTAAACTGCGTCGGTTTCTAGGGACCATTAAAAATTAAACAGTTTTAGACCTTACTGTAAACAATACTGTATAAGCTACTTTCCTATGGAATCCACTAAAACATCATGAAATTTAATAGACCAGTGTAATTGGACTTAGCTGCTAAGGGTGTGAGGGTGTGCAATTTTACAAACAACTAGAGGGATCCAAAGGGATAAGTTCATGCAAGGGATGTTTAAATAACCTCTGGCGGACTTATAAAAAAAATACATTATTTTAAATATAATATACCAAAAAATTGCTAATTTAGTGTTTCTTGTTTTTTTTTTTTTTTTTTTTTTTTACGAACAGCTATGTGAGCCTTACGATTGATTTAATTTACAATAGCAATGTCCTTCTCTTTGCCCCTCCCCTCTTATGCTAGATTCTCACAATTCATCTTTTGAAGCAAATATGTTTTATTCAACCATTTGACTAGATTTTAAACTTTTCAACATTTGACACAATATAGTAGTAAAATAAGAATTGGGAAAATAGCTGATTGATTTAAATTTATACTGCAGTTTTCATGTATTTTACAGCATTGAAAAAGTTGTTAAATATGTGAGTGTACAGAGGTAATAAACCAATAAAAAAAATGAATACATAACAATTCCTGATCTCAATAAATTTAAAACCAGTTTTGACTGTTTACACATCTAGGAACAGCTTCGGGTAGGAGGGGGGGTGGGGGTACCTGAGACATAAGTTCGCCTGAGCACAGGAATGGCTGATCCCGAGGATCGACGGAGCGCAGTGGGAGTCCCTCCCCCACCACTCAGGTCCTCCACACTTCCGCTGCCTTAGTACGCACACACACACACACATACATCATGTTAAACAAGTTAACTTACTTTACTGTCTCACAGATAAAGACAAACTGTTGATTTCACTACCAATGTTAATGTCTCTGAATCATACAAAAAAGAGGGTAAAATAACTGCCGCAGCCATACAAAAACATATCAATTACGCTACATTTTACTGAAATAAAAATTTGTTACATCAAAAGTCTTATTTTCCAATTGCATATCAAGTAAACTAAGGCTATGTATAGCGAAAATATCAATAAGAATTGACCACCACAACCAAAGATAGCAAATAGCAACCAAACACATCACATAAGTAAGTAAAACACAAGCCCACTCAGTTAAATGTAATACCCAAGCTGCGCTCAAGCTCAAGTCAAGTTTATCACAGCTCAAGTGCCAAGATTTACTGAGGAAAAAGGGTGACATAGTTTTCATGTTCTAATTCATTTCTCAGTGTGTTTATTACCTCTCTAGCAAGAAAGGTGTTGGATTACATTTCAACATTTGCCACTTAGCACATTCAACATGAGCATTACAGAATGAAGTAGAAAGAGTTTAAAGAGAGACTTCTATGATCCAAAGTTTTGTATGTGCACTATTTGTAATTTGAAGTAAGGTAATGAAAACATTTATAATTACCAGGTCCAGATAGTAAAGCGAGATACCAGAAAATTTCACATGGTTTGGTAATTGTAATTATTGGTTTTGGGAGAACATTATTTTTAAATCCGATCTTGAAGTAATAGTTAGGTTCAAATACATTATTAAGAATAGAAGGTGTTAATTAATAAATTACAGGTCCTAAAAAAATTTTCGGCACAAACAGCTAGAAAAACACAAATTCAACAATGTGTCAGTGCCAAATAGAGCCCTGCCAGACGGCCACTTTTAGGGTCTAGTAAGGTAAGCTAGAGCAACCAAAATCAATATAAATATTGATAAGATAATCACAGAGCAGTGCAGGCTTAGTAGCCTAATGGTTTGTATTAGATTGAGCACCAGAAAGGGTAACAGACTACGGAAGAAACAATTACAATACTGTAGTACCTATGCTGCTGTATGAAGTTACTTACCCAGAGATGGCTGTCGAGGTAGAGTAGGAGTTCTTTGACTAAGGGGTTGTCGTATCTTGGATACTGTTTGAGTTTGTGGTTCCTCACTTCCACCCTGGGCTGCCATCACCTGTTTCTTTAGCATTATGTCCATGTTGCTCAGTAGAAGTTCACCTTGCTCCGGGAAGTGGTTGTAGAAAGCCCAGAAAGCCCTACACCAAATCAAACATTAGCAAAATTCATCATGATTCTGCACTTGACCTTATCTCGCTCAGGGCGGGAGATTCAATAGTTTAAAAAAAATTTCAAACACACAGCGAAGTGCTACAGAGCTGCAAATGGTGTCATTCTGTTCACAAATGATGCCAGTAAGTGGTAAGGAGTCTCATTGCGGCGTACAAAAGAACTTCAGATTTATACGCAAAAACGGCCCTTACTCTTAAAACCACCCTCGTACAAAAAAATTCAACTATGCTGCCAGAGTCAGACGTAGATAAACATTTCTACTAAACTAATATCAATTATAATTAGTACCAATCTCGATGTTCCTTGGTGGCTGTCAAAGAGAGCAGTTTTAATATTACGAAAAATTAACATTTACCAAGGACCCTTAAAACCATTTTGGAAAGACTTTTACATGCAGAATATGAAGACTTGCTTGTAGGCCAGTCCTTAACAAGTGTTGTGCAATTCTATTAGCAACCCACTTTTCTTTCACTTGGCCTCCCTGTTATGTTTAATGGGTTATATAAATTATTTCATTGGGGTGTAGGCACATGACCGAGGCTGTAATCCTCTTAATCATGGTCGGTTGACCTGTCAGTTTTAGGTTGGTGTCGAATGCTTCCGCATCATACCGTGCATAGCCGAACTGTTCACGGCAAATTGTTAGCTCTATCACCGTCGCTGTGAAAACGTATCGTTTGTAGGTTAAATTTAAATTTAATTTAACTGTCATAACCTAACCAAACTAACCAAACTTGCTGATAATGAAAAATCGAATGAAGGTTTACTAATAAAAAATAGTTCTGTTCATAAAATAAAATTACAAATGCCTAACATTTAATTTTATAATTTTTTTATTATAAAATTAAACTATCATAACCTAACCAAACTAACCAAACTTGCTGATAATTAAAAAAAAAACCGAATAAAAAATAATCGAAAAATAGTTTTGGTCATAAAGTTATAAATTATAACAAAAGATGTACAGTTAGGAAGTAATCGCATTCTAAGCGAAATCTTTGACAAAAAGTTAACGCCTCCGGTGGGTTTCAGAATTCTCGATTCCCCACCCCTCCTCCGGTGACCACTGCCCTCAGGCCATAAATCAGGGGATTAACCCAAACAAAGATCTGGGACGCTGTCCGTCTCCCATTTCTTTGTCATACTTTTTCAATAATTTCTGATTAGCCGACACCTAAACAAACTACCCACATTATTTATCTGAGTAACCAATAACCAATAATTGTTTCAGCCTGAGAAACTTACTTTCTAGCAGCCATTCGGCCCTCTGGAGGACCGTCGTGCATTCCTTTCTTAATACCCTCTTGAAGGTTTGCGATCTGGTGCTCCAAGCGGTGGACTGGCCAATGTTGCAGGATGACCACGAGACATTCTGCCCCAACAGTCCTGAACTCTTTAGACTTGCTGCTTATCATTTGATTCACTAGTGTGCTGATCAGTCTGGTGTGATTTACGTGCATAAAGATAAACTTCAAGGTCACTGTTGAGCATGTTGATACCACCTACAAACAGTCAACTCTCAATTTAATACCCACTTATATATGTACATAACCAACTTATACATATGTAGAAAAAATTAATGTTATGATTAATCAGTAAAATGGGTAAAAAAGTGATATCTCGAATTTAAAGCTCCAACATGGTGCCAATACAGCACTATGAGTAGAGTTGTTTGGTTTAATATACATTTTTACAAGTAAAAAATTTAAAAAAATATGCCTTCTGATCAGAAGACTAAAAATATACACAAGTTATCATAAGTTTTTTTTGTATTTGTGGAAGTAATACTAGACAACAAAGGAGTTTTAGTTTAATAGTTTGCAAAAGGTAAGAATACCACCAATATTCTACGTAGGATAGGGATGAGTTCAACCCCTACAATTGATTCTTAATTTCATTGTTAAGGAAAAAAATTATAAGGATTATAGATCAAGATTTTATTACAAGTCTAATTAATTACACTAATTGTGATCATTGTTATCCTACACTGATAAAACCGAAAAATCCATAAAACCCACGACAGCAGCACTAATCAACGTGCAATTATCACCTACCTAATTTGACAAATGCGACAATGAAAAACATATTTAATTTTATATCAAATCACTTTTTTTAATTCATTGTGGTAACCTCCTATTATTTAGTTTTTTATATATGTTGAAAAAAATTATTCTTTTTTACTTTTCTTTTAACATTGACAGAGAAATATCGTTTAACTGAATAGCTGTCTTGAGTTTATATTTAAACCGACCTATCCCTGATTTAATACTCCTTTTACAATCTACAACCATACCTTTGCCGAACTTATCACATTAGTCATTAGCACAGGTAGAAGCATGTCCAATGTATGGCTGTCTGTCTTGTTTTTCAGCATTTTACAAACATAGGATAGGGTGAGACACGTTTCTCTCACAACTTGCGATCTAAACACACAAATAAGTCAATTATTGAACTAGCAATATAAACTTACATGAATGTGACATTGGTTCTACAACTAACTGGTCATTTTAACGTAATATAATATAAATATGACTTTATAATTTACTTTACATATCGTGGAATGTATTCAAGATTTTAAATATTAGATACTTAAAAGTAAGTTAAAAGATAATAATGCTTAAACTTAAAAAAGGTCAACTTGCAAATTTTAGTCTTACATTGAAACCAACTCCTATGACACTACTACTATCACCTAGAAAGTACACTAGAGTCTGGCTTACCTGAACCCCGCTCATCCAAACATGTGATTAGTCGACCAAGAAACCACAGAAACCGAAAGGTTTAGGCCTATGTTAATTTTGATTGCCATGAAATGTCCATGAATTGTAAGGGTATCTTATTTGGAATTGGGAAAATGTAAATAATCGTCTATGGCTGAGCATTCTTTAATTAATATAATTTTGTTGGTTCTTTTTGAGTTCTAAGAGAAACAAGATTGCAGGAGATGATAACAGGAGTTGTGATTGTGAAGTTAGTAGTATGATATAAGTTTGGTTATGATATAATAAGTATAGTGTGGATAGTTTACTTGTATTTTTCATTATCTCCAGGCCCAAGCCTATGTTACCTTGCACGTAGCCAAACATAAGGCTAGCATGTGGACTTAGGTGTAACCTACATGTTGGATGTAATTAGGTAGATCCTAGTGTTTGCATACTAGCGTGACATTTTTAATCCCCTTCCCCATCCTGTTCATTATTTTTATTTTCCACAATAATGGTACAATTGTATTATAAACCATGTTAAGAAGTATTAGTTAATAAATTTAAACAAAAAATGCATACCTCAAGTCTTTTAAACAGTTCATGAATAGTGTTCCTATATTTTTGAAGAAAGGTATAATGTTATCTTCAAACCCTTCATCATGCAGAATCAAGGATCGGAACTTCTTTAGCTGCAAAAAACAAGGTTAAAATAATTTTACATCCAAGTTCGAAGGACTATATTTAGTTTTGAAATCTGGACAAAATTTAGTGTTCTACTGACTACATACAGCCGTAACACTTTTATTCATGAATAGCATCTAATGAAGTCATCATTGACAACAATTCAAGGAATAAAAAAGATTTAACTAAGCCACTGGATTTTTTTACAATTTCACTATAATTTTTTACACAATGATTTAAAAATTCACATTTAGATGTGGGATAGACCTCCCATTACACAACACTCATACCCCAAGCACCTCTTTTTTGGCAATTTACTTGTGTTAATATCACATTTCTATCACTTTGTATGATGTCAATGAGATTAAAAAATATTTAAGGATCTCTAAAGAAAAGAGGATTTGAAATTGACAACTAGTGAAATAATGTTGATATTTCAACTACGATCATGATAATAATTATGTTCATGATCAAAACCATACAGTAGAACCCCTCATATCCGGCCTTGGTTTTACCGGTCCTCTGTTTATCCGGCCCCTTCCAGGAAGCCAATATCAAAATTTTTTTCTCACAGCTTACAGACATTTAGATGCAGCCACTAGTCTTGTGACTGCTCAAGTCATAAAATAAATTGTTCTCATTATTTATCTGTTTGTTTATACATTTATTTGCTGAGTCACTATACTCAGTTGAGCTAGTAGGCCTAACCTCTGATCAGTTGGTTGATTATTTCCAAAGTGGGGTTAGTACAGTACAGTATGAGTACATTAATTTTTGTATTTCACAAAATGGTTAAGAATGTTGCGTAGAAATGCATGTACCATTTAAGTCCTAATGATCTTTAAGTACAATTTATTATCATTTTTACCTCCATTTAATTTGAAAAGAGGATTTGAAATTGACAACTAGTGAAATAATGTTGATATTTCAACTACGATCATGATAATAATTATGTTCATGATCAAAACCATACAGTACATACAAATAAGAAATATCAAGCCTAAATCGAAATCCAATATATATTATTAACATCTACATTCGTTTGAATAGAATAGATTACAGATTAATATTTTATGAGTTTAAATAATTCTAAAAACAATACAAAACTTATAGACAAAAAATTGGTTTGACTCACAGCTTCTAGTTTCTTCTCCCAGTATTCTGTTCCAGTTTTTAAATCATCCTGTATCTTTTTGGCAACCGAATCAAACTCGCGAACGGACATCAAGTGAATCGGGGGAACATCTTCAAAGGCACTGTTGAACCACTCTTCATCAGCATCTACACCAGCCTTTCCTGCAAATAAAAACGTTGGATTGTAAATTAAAATTTGCATAACATTTAATTAATAACTGTATACCTGTTAGTGGCAGAGTTCTCCAGTATAGAAATGATTCTTCTTACTTAGGACGCTGTTTCGTTTTCGAAATAGGTGGAAACCTTCAGATAATAATGAGATCCAAACCACCGGGTTTTGCATTATATTAAATGCTAAAAGCCATTGGTGACCAGGAACTGTAAGCTGGTCCTTAAAGAAATAAGTCCTGCACTCTAACCACTAAACTGACCAAACCAGTGGTGCGTCACTTAAACAATACCGGTAACGTATAACGTAATATACAAATTTTATGACCAGCTGATTCCAAGGAAAACTCTTTTTTTGTTATATTGAGGGCTAACAAATCTAGGACTTTCCGATAGGGATGGTCAAGTCTCGAAATTTCGGGAAATTTTCGGGAAATTTTAAATCTCGTTACACGAGACGAGATTTCTTTTTGGCCGAGATTTTTATCGAGACGAGAATAAAAAAAAAAAAAAAATTAAAACGCCTGCAGAAAGTCAATGCAATACCCGCAATACAGGAGCGTGTTGTAGTTGCGTTTCCTTTGCGAAGGCGTTCTTATTTAATTAATTCTTCAAAAATGTAGGCTAAATATTACTTTAATTATTTTAATAACATTTGAGAAGTTTTGTTAAGTGTTAGCAGTGTGAGGAATGTTTTATTACTATAAAAAAGTCAAAACAAGTAACTATTTTATAAAAATTAATATTTTATTTTATGATTTATTTTATTTTAGGATAAGTTGAACTCTATCCTAACTGATATCACTATGTTTCCTAATCGTAGGCATTTTTAATAATTTAGGTGTGATTAATAAAAAATGTTATGCTGATGTTTTTTAATAAAAGATAGTAAATATCCTTGCCTATTATCATTATTTTTGTATTTAAACAGTCATCTAACAATGTTACAAAATCAGGTAAAAATTCCGAACGTGCATTTCTTGTTGTGTATGAGAAGGGAAATCCCGTCTCGATCTCGTCTCGAAATTTTATGAGAAATAAAAAATCTCGTCTCGTCTCGTCTCGAACTAAAAATCCAATCTCGTCCATCCCTACTTTCCGATTAACTTATAAAAATTTTACTAATCATTTATTAGCCTGAGGGTTTTTCTGAATTTCCAATTGTTGTTTTAACATAGGCCTACATATTTCTTTGTCCTGCATAAAGTATCATCTACATCAGAGTATCTCAAACATATAAAACCATTTAGATTTGATGACAGTTAGTGCTTGATAATCCAAAAATGGATAGCCTGACACAATAACTAATCTCTCACTGTGCTAAATGAGTCATCGTCTTCCGTATAATGTATATAAAGTTCAGGAATTTTATTTGGTTTAATTTTAGTATTAAAAACATTACTATTTTGGAAATTAACACTGTAAATAATATGAACCCCTAAAGTTTAAGATATTAGTTGATTTTTTAAGCTTGTGGATGAAATATAGTATAGTTTGAGGTTAAAAGCATTTTTTGAAATGGGACTTCCGTCATCTGTACTATACACATCTGATTTTCAAGAATAATCTTGTATTATTTTTTGGACTGTACAAAAACCCTTTCCCTATTCCCACCAAATCCCGTTCCCACGGTCCGATCATGCTGGTTTGCGAGCTCGATCAAATAAATGTGGGTTTACATGTTTGTACCAAATTTCATTGAAATCGGATGATTTTTGCTTTAGTTATAGTGCTAACAGACCCACAAATATGAATCTGAACGGATGGTGTTTTTGGCCTCTGGGGACATCAAAACTAAAACGCAAATCGGTGCCGGGTCCAGGTATTACAGTGAGATTTACGGTAATAGCTTATTCCCTATATGGGAAATTCGCTGAAATTGAGCCAAAAAAGGCCCAATTGTATGGATCCATTTGTCTCCTAGTCGCTTTGCTCAGTTACCTTCTTTTTACTATCTGTCACGTTCTGCTTGTCCCAATGAACAAATAAACTACTATAACAAGATCAAAAATTTACCTGAGTGAAGTGCATAAGCAGCACCTTCTCCTAACTTTGAAGCTTTTAGACCGGTTGGTCGGGCAGACAGCTTAGGCATCGCTAGAACATATTATATCAGAGTTTATTTAGATACAATTGTGCATTATAGTCTCCAGATATACAGTGCTGCTTTTACATATCACTGTCTAACATTACACCCCAGATAATGTACTTTTATTATCAACAGTTTTGAACCATTTAATTATTTGTCGACAACATTGCATTTGATAACGATTCACCTAAAAGAATACAGAGAATCGTTATTGTTTAACCTTTCTAGCAGTTCAAATGCAAAAACAAAGATGGAAACAGTCCAAAGGTGTGCATCGTTTGTGCTACATGTTGTTTGTGAATGTACTTATACCTAATTATGTAACAGTAACAGTAGGTTAAGAGTTCATTCTTATTGTAAACAATCTGTAAAACGAGTAGCATTCTCAAATTCAAAAAACTCCATTCAATTTAAAACCTAAATTTAAACAACTACTTTTTTAAATTTTCAATGTACTGAACAATAAATAACTTAAAGACCTACAATGAAATATTTTCAAAGGGATTGACAGCCGTAATTATTGTTATTAATTAGTCATTTCAAGAGTGGGCAATGGGCAAGGCTTAAGAGAAAAAAAAAACTTGAATAATTTCTTCGCACCATAGTACAGTGACTAATACAGTGACCTTTTCTCCCCGACAGTTGGTTTGGATGACTCGGACATTCAGATTAGCAGGACTCCAGTATAAAGACATTTCTAAATAGCACTATTCAGTGAATGATCTCAATGTACAGTAGACTACCTCTTATCCAGACACCTTTTAACTGGACGTTGGTTTAACCGGACTACACTTGACAGAAATGACATCTCTTTAACCGGACAATTTTATCAGCAAATCGGTTTAACCGGACTAGATCGGCAGGAAGTGGGCGGTACTGAAACGACTATTCTCGTGGGACCAGTGACCATTTGTCTAAATACAATGCTCTCCTAAATTTAAGTCAAATACTGTATACAGTATGCATTTAAACGGTCCGTTTAAACGATTTTTTGGAGACGTTGGTTTAACCGGAAAACCCGTTATCCGGACTGGTCTTGGTCCTGAAGAGTACGGATGAGAGGGAGTCTACTGTAGACCTGTAGTGGCTCTTAGAGATGGCGTAAATTATTGTGCATGTTTATGTGTTATCATCGAGGGCTTGTCAGGAATTACTCTTGTGTACGCATATGGAAGCTTTTTATCACCAAAAAGTAGAATTTCTCCTCTTTTCCCAAAACGCAAGGACGGTCATAGCATGGTGACTTTTTACCTAACAATCAGTTTTACACAAATTGGATAAGGGAGAAAATTTTTACTTCGGATTTTGAGGATATGGTCTAATTGTACTTATACCTTTTATAGAATTAAAAAGTTTTTCATCTGTGTGAAAATAATTAGGACCAAAAGATGTTTTCAAGACTCTTTTGTTTCTCTTTAAACGTACAGGAAATTTCACAACACTAACTGCAACCCCTTGCAAAGAGGTAGGTGGTAAATATTTGGTTCATCAAATTGTCATACATTTGAGTAAAATAGTTATCATAATTGAACGGCTCCCCGGAAAAACGTTCCAAGCGCCATAATTAGAGTTTGCAGGTTTTTGATAGAAAAACGTTCCTTGTGCTTTTGTCTATCAAGTGGTGACATCTTTTGGCCGATTTTATAACTAAAACATTGAATTATGGGTAGGGGAATTTGGCACTCCCTGGAAGAACGTTCCTTGTGCAGCGTATTGGGCAGACAAGACCATGTCTTCACCGGTGTCAGGCCTTATTAAACAATTAAATAGAGGCAAAAAACTAAAGTTAAACATAGATTTTTGGAAGAAGAAAGTTAAAAAGAGTCATAGAAATAGCGGGAAAGAGTAAAAAAACTACAAAAATGAAGTAGTGCCTGAAAAAGTACCTATTTCTGAAGTAATTGGAAAAACGTTACTTGTGCTACAATGCACACTACAGTTGAACACTATAACGTTTGTGATACAGAATATCTACCAGGACATAGGAATTTAATTTCCATTTCTAAATACTTATTATTAGTAAATTACAACCTAGCTGTTGTTAATTTACTGTTTACTGTCTTATATGTTGTTTTTGTTAAGTGAATGGGCTGATTTTTTTAAGGATTTGTCACGATCCTGCACACACAACGGCTGCAAGACTATACCTTTTGTGACTGACTATACTGTTGACTATACTGTACCAAGATAATACTTTTACTTTCTCCCCCTATACCATAGTATATGGAGAAAGTATTGTTTTCGTCAAAATTTTCGAGTTTGAGTTTTGAGTAGATATATTCGTTTTGGGTCCCCCTGGACCCAAAAAAGTGGTTTTCGAAGTGATGTCTGTGTGTGTGTGTGTCTGTGTGTCTGGATGTGTACAGAGCTAGAGACTACAACTGTGGTCCGATTTCGATTAAATTTGGTATGTAGGTTCTAATCCATGGTATCTCCAGGCGTTTTTTTAATTTTTTTGAAATTTTGATTTTTAATGGGGATTTTCCCATAAAAACCCATAAAAACCCGGAAAAATCGGATTTTCTCAAAAATGGCCCGAACGATTTTGATAAAAATTTAGTATGTTGTAGCCCTTTAAAATCTGAACTAAATGGTACAAATCCCATTTCTGTAAAAATTACGGTTCAAAAGTTATGGTAAATTATGTTATTTTCCCATAAAAACGCCATAAAATAACGAAAAATAGGATTTTAGACAAAAATCTGGTTTTGATTTAACAAAGTATGTTATGGTCCTTACAATTTTGATAGTTTTTTCATTTTTTAGAAATTTTTTTCTAATGGGGATTTTTCCATAAAACCCCATAAAATAACGGAAAAATAGTATTTTCCCAAAAATGGCCCGAACGATTTTGATAAAAATTTAGTATGTTATAGTCCTTTATATTCTGAAAAAAAATGGTACAAATCCCATCTCTGTAAAAATTACGGTTCAAAAGTTATTGTAAATTATGTTATTTACCCATAAAAACCCCATAAAATAACGGAAAATCAGATTTTCCCAAAATTGGCTCGAACGATTTTGATAAAAATTTAGTATGTTATAGTCCTTTAAATTCTGAAGAAAATTGTATAAATCCCATTTCCGTATATTTACTCTCACCGCTTACACATGATAAAGGTTGTTGACAAACTTATGGGAGAAAGTATGTGTCAGAATGCTGATACCGTTTATTTTTTACAAGATTTTGTGTGTTCTTTTAGTTAAATGATGTGCAATATTGTAAAATTAAAAGTCCCAAGCACACAAATAATATCAACTTAATACAAAGGCTAGGGGTTATGTACGTTTCATTAACAAGATAGTGTGTATTCTTTTAGTAAAATAAGATTCAATATTGTAAAATAATCTTTCACTTGCAGTTTGAGAATTTCTGTACCTAAGCAATAAAAATAATGAATTATTGCAGCTATTAAAACTTCATTCTTTACAAAACGTTTCAAACGCCAGTATTGTAGAGTGCTATTTTTCAGTAGAAAAACGTTGCTTGTGCATATCAACTATGCCCAAGCAACGCTTTTCCACTACATTTACACTTAAAATGTCAAAAGCTTAATAATTTGTTTTTTTACTTGAAAAAAAAATCCTTATAACATTGTTTTGACTAGACCTATCAAGTAGAATCTAAACAAATAAAAAAATAATCTTTAAAAAATTACTCTCTTAAAGTTTTTTTTAGTTTTTGTAAAGTTTACAAAACGGCGCATGGAACGTTTTTCCAGGGAGCCATTCAATTATAGAAAATTTCTATTCTTATAATAATTACAATGATATGAATTTTAACCTAATAAATGTTAGTTATGACTTAGTTGGGTTGCTGACATGCCAGAACTGATCGACAGAACTGATCGACAGAACTGATCGACAGAACTGATCGATTTAGTTATGTACTGTATCGTTACTTAGAAAAACAAGAGACAAAATTTAGTTACCAACACACAAGGTAAAATGTTAATAAAAAGGTTGGATTTGTTCATGTTGGATTAGCTTTGCAGGATACAGAGTGGTTAATAAATGTTAACACTATTTTGTATGTTGAAAGGATTGGATTTATAGCTCAGAATGTTGATTTTACTATGCCTTTATTTAACTACGCTATTGAATAAATATTATACAAAAATATTGTTTACTATGATTCTAGGTATATTTAAAAGCCTAAATATTTTTTATTGAAGTAATTGTTATTGAACTTATGTTAACAGTCAAAATTAAATTTGGCAAAACATATAAGCCTACACATTTTGTGTAGGCCTACAAATTATCAATAAACCTGGGTATTTATCTATCTGATTCCATTTGTTAGAGAATTGTTGATTTGCTGTTAGCATTAACCAAAAATAAACAGAATTCCTAACACATTTTAGTATCTAAAATTTGTGTTTACTTGGTATTGAACCAATGGTGAATTCAGAACTAATGTACCAAGTTACAACTTGATTATTCAACTAACAAACCACTGTAAAAACCCTCTCAACATTTTTCATTGTTAGATAATGTAGGTTATTCACATATAAAAAGATCAACATGAAATAAAATCAAGATCAGATCACAATACAAATAGCTCATCATCACGCCACAATAAAACTTACGCTCAGTAGAATGGTCAACAGATTCATTTTTATACTGAAACAATAAATAGATATTGAATTAGTAAATAAATAGGAAAAAGCTTTACCTGATGCAATTTTTCTCTTAACCTCTTTGGGCTTTACTGACTCTACAGCTGTCTTCGGAGTTGTCTGCAACACAGTTTTTATAGAGTGAGAAGCATGTGAAGACACGATACATGGAAGAAAATAATACAAACATTGTGGCAATAAATGGGGAAGTAAACATTGTAGACATACATGTACAGTTTACTGTATCAAACATGACACAATTGAGTATTTTGACAGAAAGTGTTGAACCAACACATTTTGTTTTAATATCAATGGGGCTAGACCAGAAAACATTGAACAAGACATAGAGGTACAAGATTTTTGAACTCTTAGCATATCTGTTTTAGTTTATGAATTTATTTCACAACAAAAGTCAAAGAAAACAATTACGGATGTCAAAAATTCATTCTCTTGCCAATCATGTGTTATTTATAGGGACCGTTGTATGTTATTGTGTATTGATGGAGCTCTTAACAAGAGAACAAAATTCAAGAATTGCAGTGTTTTTATTATTATTATCATGATCAATATAGTGAGCAGCTGGTTTCAAGGATATAAAAGCATTTTGCTTTTCAGTCAGTTCACCAAGAATCCTCATTTTCACATGGGAGACTATCATGTAACTAGAATGTGAAGTTTAATTAGTTGCAAAAGTGTTCTGCTACTAGTGCTGCTTTTATATTAAACTTCACTATTGATAAGATTGTTAAAGTTTCTAGCTCATTTGCTGGATGCCAACATCCTAATTAGTGATGTACCTCAGTACCACCTTTTTTGGGGAAAGGGGCGATACTTCGGTAGTAACATGACGCGGACATAGACAAGATAAGCGATATTACTTCTTTTGTCTGGACGCAGGTCTTGTATTCATCGGGCGAATTTCAGGCACTATAATTGTAAATCAATCCCTGGGTACGGTAATCAGTTATTTTGCTTGTCACAAACACTATAAATGACAGAATTAGACGACTTTGTGTATTCAACATAAAATGTAAATTTTTGCAACTCTTTTTCATAAAGTGTATTATATAGTTTGGTACCAAAAGTAGAGTTGAAAACCGATTTTTGTGAGGAATCATTACTGGTTCCAACTACTGTATGTTGTACCAACATATCACTAATCAAATTATATGCAAGGTTTTACTATTGAATGAAGTAAAAACTTTAAAACTACGTTGTATTCCTGGCATCCTTAACCCTATCAACAACTTTTGAAGAAACAAGACAAAAACTACAACTAACAAGACGTGCAAGATGCAAGGTGCTTCTTCCCTCGTAATCCAGATATTTAAATATCATGCATCTATAAAGATTTGACATATTTTCAAGCAGCCAAATATTAATAATGAATAGAATAGCAAGATTGTAGACAACCAAATCCTAACTTAACATTTGCATAGCAAGCCACAATATAAATATATCAAAAGATCTTTACTTACTGTGCTTTCTAGGGACTGACCTCTTGCAGATCATCGAGTGACCATTTTTTAAAGAAGCAGTTACCAACGAATACAAAATTAAAGTTATACTATTAGTGCTACTTATTAGTCTATCAGGTACCTATTGATTTTTATTAATGACTTGATTCCCTAGTCTCAATAAAAATCAAAAAAGTTATCTGTGCACTGCTTATGATGTTAAGAGTTGCTCCAAGAGTTTCTGAACTAAATTTACTATTTTATGAAATAATCCAATGTAACAAACAATGTAGAACCATACTGTATACAGTATGATCTGCTCTTTAGATTATACAAGTTATCTGGTTGAATAATTTGTCTGTTGTTTACAATCTCAAATAATTTACAGTTAAAAAAGTAAATTTTAAGAACTCTACAATAGCTGAAGAGGATATGAACTAAAAATATATTGTGATATTTAAATTATACAAACAAGTAGCTTGATTGTTGGTTGTAGCAAATCATCTAAAGAGTTTTTTGGGATGCAGATAATCTAAGGCTTAATAGCTTTTTGTCTTTTTCAGGTTAGGTTAGTATTAGCTTAAGACATATACCATCTTCAACTACAGTTAATATTTAAACCAAAATGCAATAAAAAATATTATCAAGACCATTAAAAAGTTATGTTAACGCTAATTCCTTGTTGTCTTACATCCTGGTAGACAAGATTATAGCTACAAACTATTAGAAATTATGACCAAGACCAAGAGAGAATAAGTCGCATTTCTGCTAAACTAATCATATCTTGAACCCTTCTACAGCAGATCCCCTCTAGTCTATCAGGTCATCCCATGGTCAGATAATCTTAGGAGCAAAAGAGAGGTTAGGGGAAGCAATAAACTTAATTTCATAGCGGTAAACAAATCATTAAACACGTTAAAAAAAGTATTTATTCTACAAATAAAATCCAAAAAAGCAAGCGACTAATTTCAGGGCATGTGCAACCCACAGTCGGATATTTCAGTAGTCCTATAGTTGTGTATAACTGTAATTTGATCGCACTTTAAACTGAAAATGAACATGTTTTGACCAATCTTCGGCGGAGTTATCTAATAAATTTATTGATGATGACCTTATAACTAATAGAATAAAAGAAATAAACAAAAACTCACATCCTTGGGTGGCGCAGATTTTACGGGTATTAGTGCTCTTGGAGGCAAAATACTCGATTTCAGTTTCTGTTTCTAAATAAGAAGAATGAAATGTACATTATTAGTTTATGATGATAGATTATGGATGATGATGATGTTGATGAAAATCATCAAGGCATTGAGAGTGATAGACAAAACTTATATACAGGGTGTTGAAAAAGTCTTAAACACACCCAAAAATGAATTAAACGGTGTAAGATAAAATTTTACAACTTCAATATATCATTATATGAAGACTTTTATAGCTTTTTGCAAGAAATCAAAATTTTGCCCCCCTCCCCCTTTAACCCATTGGCGCCGACTTACGAGTGTTACTCGTACGGCCGCTGCAGACCCGCGGCCAACTTACGAGTGCCACTCTTGTCACCGCTACGCTGCGCCACTATTTATTTAATTATTATTATTTCCCCCCCTTTTTGTTTCTTCTTACTTTTATCATGTTTTTAAATATCTTGCTTCTTGATTTGCGTATTTACTCATTTATTTTATCGAATAACAAACAATTTTGTGTTGCCATGGAAACCAGATATCACAAAAAATCAGCTGTGGTAAGGAAAACAAACAAAAAATTGTCTACGTTATTACTTATAAAAGTACACAATTTGATTTTTCTAAGTAGGGAATCAATTGAACTTCATAATAGTAGTGCTATTTGGTGTCTGGATTAATCTTGGAATTTGTAAATCAAGTTTACTTTCAAAAAATTGTTTTTAAAATTTTTATTTTTATAATCTTTATACTTTGAATGGCTGCCATTTTCAACTCGGTTATCCATTTTAGTTCAATTTGCGGCATTGTATTCTACTAAGACCTTTAAAAATGAGGGGTCAGAACATGGGTCTTTACATTTGAAAATGTTTAGTTTCCCCTATCTACCCTTAAATGAGGAGGGGACAAAATTTGGATTTTTTGTAAAAAGCTAGAAAAGTCATCATATAATGATATATTGAAGTTGCAACATTTTATCTTACGTCGTTTAATTTATATTTGGGTGTGTGAAGATTTTTTCAACACCCTGTATTAATTTATTATTATTAGTTATAAATATCAAAATAGCTGAAAGTATATTTAATTTGTGGATAATTTTTCTTCACTGTCTGTGACTAACTATTAACTTGCTGATGAACTGGCAGCAAAGTGAATATTAATACTGTAATTATAATGAAGCCATACAAACTTAATAGTAGTTTACGCAACGATTGCGTTAAGTGAGTCTTTACGACACGAGTAGAAAATTTAGGCGAGTGCCTTAAGAACTTCTACGAGTGTCGTAAAGACTATTAACGCGAGTTGCGTACACTACTTTACCTACGACCGTTTTTAATTACTATCAATCTGGATTTAATTACTAACAATTACTACTGATAACTTTTTAGAGAGGTTATGTTTTCGTGTATTGTCATTGCCACTGAAAGTGATGCAACGACTTGTTGTATAATCAGCTGATTTCCTGTAATTACGTGTTTGTTAAACTTCGTTAAATATTACATTGCTAGCAGCATTCTTACCACAAATAATATTGTATCAGGTACAATTCGGCAAATATTTCATTTATTTTTGGACTTCCACAAACTTAATTAAGAATACGCGAGTATCAACATGAACAAGTCGGATCAACAATTAAATTGGTCAACTGATCAGCTGATCAGCTGATTAGTTGACGTTCGAAGCATTACAATTTTAATTCTTTTCTCTCAATACTTGAACCTCATTGGTCCGTTACCTGTGTGGATATGAGAAAACTATGCGGATATGAAATGAAACTATGCGGATATGAAAGTAAACAGCTGTAAAGTGAAACTTTTCAATTCTAAGAACTGGACTGAAATGGCTACTTTAAAAAACGGTCGTAGGTAAAAATAATTAATTGGATCTAAAACCAAAGAATATACATGAATATATAATTGAAACTATTGTGATTAGGGATTCTGTATTTAAACAAATTATTAAAAACTTAGTACCGTAGTGCACTAAATATTATTTATATATTTTTTATTATTCTTTTTATTTAATTGTAGGTTATAATACATATAGTTACATATACATTTAATACATATACATATACATAGTTATATATACATATAATACATAATACCTACAGTTATGTTATAATTCAAATTAATTATCGTATTTATTTAGTGATGAAGACTGCATTAAAATTACCTAAGTGTCGAAACAAGTTGTTGAATAAAATTTAGTTTATAAAGGGTACCAAGTTTGTAAAAAAGTAACAATATACATACATAAATACATTTATATATCGAAAGAGTAACATGACAAGCAAGTAGAATAATAATCTATCACATATTAACACGTTTTACAAAGTTAGTTTCTCAACAGATTTTCCAAATCCTGACATGAACATATAGTTGTAGACATTTTTTTAAGTTTTTAGAATTTAGCTCATTTATAAAAAAAAAAAACTTAACACAAAAAACATTCCTAATCAAATTTGAATTTAAAGGGGGGGTTAAAGATTGACATTTCATGAGTTGATTTAATGTATAAGATCTAATAAATATAGGTTAGATTAAGTTTAAAATTTCTGGGTTTAATTTATTGCATAAGATCTAATAAATATAGGTTGGAACTTTCATAAGGGGACTTTCATAAATAAAAAATTTGTTTAAAAAAACAAATAAAAAACACTCACAGGTTTTTTAAAAGTACCAGAAGCCTCGTCCTTGTTTTCAGGTGATGTAATATTTTTCTGCTGTATGACAAAAATACTCAAGTAACTACATATTGATAGTTGATGATGATAAGCTTAGAGATAATGTACATATCAATGGATGATCTTTAATTTATTATAGCGACAAAACGTTGGAATACATATGCAATATATATATACAGTAGAACCTCGATGAAGATGAGGGTGATTTTCAAATCCCCTTGAAATTATTTTACCCCTAATCACATGTTATTGCAAACCTCGATAAGAAGTCAACCTTGATAACAAGTCTTTTTTTATGATCCCTGTGAGAGTCGTGTTATCAAGGTTCTACTGTCTAACCTTGATATAACGAGCCTTAATATGACGAATTCATTGATATAACGATTTTTTTTTAACCCCTAGAACCCTCCATAAGACGCAACGTATATCTTACTTCTATATAACGGACAAACCATATCAAAAACCTTGATTTAACGAGATTTTGTCAATCCCGACTAAAATAAGACATCTCAATATAGGGAATGTAACCTCTACTAAACAAATTTTTGCGCCTTTCCCTCGATATAACAAACCCTAATCCCCATTAATTTTTTTTTAATAAAAAATTAATGTGTTTCGATAGATGATAGGTGGATTAGAGTAAGCTATGATTTTATAGGATACAGTTTGTAAACTGAACCAAGGTTAATGACTTAAAATGTGGCGGCTTGATGGCGGAATATCAATGATTCTGTAGTTTTATACTTTGTTGATTACAAATGTAAATTGAGACATTATTAGAAATTTTTATTTACACAGTAACGTGTTACAGTGTTTTATGGGTTAGTCATTTTTTATACCATGTTGGATCAACCGTTATTTTCCTCTCCAATTTCCCCTCCAACTTATTATTCCGGATAATCGAGGTTCTACTTTACAATGACAATACTATACTGTAAAGAATTGTAGCCTATGCTACTTAATTGTGTTTTAATGAGGTCAAATATCGATCTCTAAATTAACTGATGTTGTTTCTGAACCTCGACTTAGTGAAATTACTGCAAACCTAACCTCAATATAACAAACCTCGTTTTAACAAAATCCTTGATATAACGAATATTAAGATCTGTTCAGTCACTTCAGATTTGTTATACAGAGGTTGGATTGTACTAGTGCACATTTATTGTGTATTTTTAAAATCTAGCTCATTTTTAGAAAAAGTAACTTAGGCTAAATCAATCAAAAAGTTTTTTGCCCTAATAAAATTTCAACCAGAAAAATGGGGAATACATATTTGTTGATTAAAATTTGTTGGTTTGATTTATTGTATAAGATCAAATAAATATAGATTGGAACCTTCTTAACCCTTTCAGTGCTATGAAACGATATATCGTTGTTTTAAAAAATCTCTAAGGGATATAGAGAGGAAGGTTATTTAAAAAAAAAAATAGCAAAACGGCCATTGGTGACCTCCATGTTCATAGGATACACTAACAACTACTTAGCTAAAAGATTCGCCCAATCCGATGATTTCGAGGTGTATGTCTAAACCAAGGATTATGAACACCTCACTATGCCCCAGTGGTTGTAGTATATCACTACAAACACACAGGTCACCAATTATTTGCCACACAGGACGGGATTCGAACCCGAGCAGACGAATGCCACTGGCCAAGTGACACACGCCCTAGCCTTCTCGGCTATCTGTGCTTGAAGACTGAGGAGTCAAAAACCGGTATTTAAGCTGTCGCCACCAATTGCGAACAGGTAGCGCTACAGATGGTTCTTCAATGCGTTACTAGGTAGCAGCAGCAGTTAGTCACGGACTATTTAGATGAAATCTTTTAGTTTAAACACAACAGTGATCATAAATGTGTTCCTGAGACTTTGCTGCAAAACATTAGTTTCCCTAAAATGGCTATATTACGATAACATCGTCCAAATAAATCAAGGTTAAATTCAATATTAAATTGTAAACTATATGTCTTTTGATTTTATGAGATTTTGGTTTCAAATAATGCTATCAGAACATAAAAATTTATAGGAAAACCAGAAAAATTACAACAAAAACAAAGTTTTATATAATGTTTACTACAAATACCGGGATTTATCTTTCTTATATATTTTCTTATTGTGTTATTATTCAAAATTAGCCTAATTAATAAAATAGTGACAACATGACAGTTAAAATTCAACAACAGGTAATGGAATTAAAAGGCAAACAAAAAAGTCTTACAAAATATGAATTATTGGCCTAGCACTGAAAGGGTTATTGGCATCATAAATCAATTATTCGTAAATAAAATTACAAATAAAAAAACACTCACAGGTTTTTTAGTAGTACCAGAAGCCTCATCCTTGTTTTCGGGTGACGTAATATTTTCCTGCTGTATGACAAAAATACTCAAGTAACTACATATTGATAGTTGATGATGATAAGCTTTGTGATAATGTACATATCAATGGATGATCTTTAATTTATTATAGCGACAAAACGTTGAAATACATATGCAATATATATACAGTAGAACCTCGATGAAGAAGACGGTGATTTTCAAATCCCCTTGAAATTATTTTACCCCTAATCACATGTTATTGCAAACCTCGATAAGAAGTCAACCTCGATAACAAGTCTTTTTTTATGATCCCTGTGAGAGTCGTGTTATCAAGGTTCTACTGTCTAACCTTGATATAACGGGTCGCCGGAATTTTATCCCCCTGGAATCTTACCCCCTGGGCAAAGCTGATGTCACTTTGACGTAGTAACCTGAGTGGCCAAAAGTTTGTTCGCGGCCGGAATTTTACCCCCGCGGATTTGGAAGTCTAATGAAAATAGTCAGAGCGTGATTAATTAGATTAGCGATAAAAACCGGAATTTTACCCCCTGTCCATATAACTAACGTTTAGGCAACTGAAGATGTACGGGCCGGATTTTTACCCACCGGAATTTTACCCCCGGAATTTTACCCCCCGGAATTTTACCCCCGGAATATTACCCCCTGGCTGATTTTAGAAATTGAATGATTGATTTTCTTATTTCTTTTTTTAATTAATTGTAAACATTTCATTATTTAGTAGCCTATCTTTATTTATTTAATTATTTTGTAATCTCAACTAAGTAAACAGAATTCGCTGTTTTATTTTGATCATATTAACCAACAGTTGGCTTCAAAGATCGAATCCTGACACTCGAATCTCAAAATTAATATTAAAACCCTGTTCGATTAGTTAATGTTACATATAAATTAAGATAGGCTACTTAATAATAAAATGTTTACCATTAAATTAAAACTGAATGACGATAATTAATCATTCTCACTAATTTATATCTGGTCAGGAGGTAAAATTCCGGGGGGTAAAAATCCGGGCCGTACATTCTAGGTTTTTATAATTTGATGTGTTCTGATTAAACTCACAACCGTGAAAATATATGTTTAATTCCGCGTTTAATCCATCGAGCTGATGTCGCGAAACTCAAAAGTTCGCGGCCGGAATTTTACCCCCTGGTTTGTGACGTCACGTTTGCCCAGGGGGTAAAATTCCAGGGGGATAAAAATCAGCTACCCCGATATAACGAGCCTTAATATGACGAATTCATTGATATAACGATTTTTTTAAACCCCTAGAATCCTCCATAAGACGCAACGTATATCTTACTTCTATATAACGGACAAACCATATCAAAAACCTTGATTTAACGAGATTTTGTCAATTCCGGCTAAAATAAGACATCTCAATATAGCGAATGTAGCCTCTACTAAACAAATTTTTGCGCCTTTCCCTCGATATAACAAACCCTAATCCCCATTTTTAATAAAAAATTAATGTGTTTCGATAGATTATAGGTGGGTTAGAGTAAGCTGTGATTTTAAAGGATACGGTTTGTAAACTGAACCAAGGTTAATGACTTAAAATGTGGCGGCTTGATGGCGGAATATCAATGATTCTGTAGTTTTATACTTTGTTGATTACAAATGTAAATTGAGACATTATTAGAAATTTTTATTTGCACAGTAACGTATTACAGTGTTTTATGGGTTAGTCATTTTTTATACCATGTTGGATCAACCGTTATTTTCCTCTCCAATTTCCCCTCCAACTTATTATTCCGGATAATCGAGGTTCTACTTTACAATGACAATACTATACTGTAAAGAATTGTAGCCTATGCTACTTAATTGTGTTTTAATGAGGTCAAATATCGATCTCTAAATTAACTGATGTTGTTTCTGAACCTCGACTTAGTGAAATTACTGCAAACCTAACCTCAATATAACAAACCTCGTTTTAACAAAATCCTTGATATAACGAATATTAAGATCTGTTCAGTCACTTCAGATTCGTTATACAGAGGTTGGATTGTACTAGTGCACATTTATTGTCAATTTTTATTAAATCTAGCTCATTTTTAGAAAAAAGTAACTTAGGCTAAATCAAACAAAAAGTTTTTTGCCCTAATAAAATGTTAACTAGAAAAATGGGGAATACATATTTGTTGATTAAAATTTGTTGGTTTGATTTATTGTATAAGATCAAATAAATATAGATTGGAACCTTCTTAAGGGCATCATAAATCAATTATTTGTAAAAAAAAAATACAAATAAAAAAACACTCACAGGTTTTTTAGTAGTACCAAAAGCCTCATCCTTGTTTTCGGGTGACGTAATATTTTCCTGCTGTATGACAAAAATAATCAAGTAACTACATATTGATAGTTGATGATGATAAGCTTTGTGATAATGTACATATCAATGGATGATCTTTAATTTATTATAGCGACAAAACGTTGAAATACATATGCAATATATATACAGTAGAACCTCGATAAAGAAGACGGTGATTTTCAAATCCCCTTGAAATTATTTTACCCCTAATCACATGTTATTGCAAACCTCGATAAGAAGTCAACCTTGATAACAAGTCTTTTTTTATGATCCCTGTGAGAGTCGTGTTATCAAGATTCTACTGTCTAACCTTGATATAACGAGCCTTAATATGACGAATTCATTGATATAACGATTTTTTTTAAACCCCTAGAACCCTCTGTAAGACGCAACGTATATCTTACTTCTATATAACGGACAAACCATATCAAAAACCTTGAATTAACGAGATTTTGTCAATCCCAGCTAAAATAAGACATCTCAATATAGCGAATGTAGCCTCTACTAAACCAATTTTTGCGCCTTTCCCATGATATAACAAACCCTAATCCCCATTATTTTTTTTTTAATAAAAAATTAATGTGTTTCGATAGATTATAGGTGGGTTAGAGTAAGCTGTGATTTTAAAGGATACGGTTTGTAAACTGAACCAAGGTTAATGACTTAAAATGTGGCGGCTTGATGGCGGAATATCAATGATTCTGTAGTTTTATACTTTGTTGATTACAAATGTAAATTGAGACATTATTAGAAATTTTTATTTGCACAGTAACGTATTACAGTGTTTTTATGGGTTAGTCATTTTTTATACCATGTTGGATCAACCATTATTTTCCTCTCCATTTTCCCCTCCAATTTATTATTCCGGATAATCGAGGTTCTACTTTACAATGACAATACTATACTGTAAAGAATTGTAGCCTATGCTACTTAATTGTGTTTTAATGAGGTCAAATATCGATCTCTAAATTAACTGATGTTGTTTCTGAACCTCGACTTAGTGAAATTACTGCAAACCTAACCTCAATATAACAAACCTCGTTTTAACAAAATCCTTGATATAACGAATATTAAGATCTGTTCAGTCACTTCAGATTCGTTATACAGAGGTTGGATTGTACTAGTGCACATTTATTGTCAATTTTTATTAAATCTAGCTCATTTTTAGAAAAAAGTAACTTAGGCTAAATCAAACAAAAAGTTTTTTGCCCTAATAAAATGTTAACTAGAAAAATGGGGAATACATATTTGTTGATTAAAATTTGTTGGTTTGATTTATTGTATAAGATCAAATAAATATAGATTGGAACCTTCTTAAGGGCATCATAAATCAATTATTTGTAAAAAAAAAATACAAATAAAAAACACTCACAGGTTTTTTAGTAGTACCAAAAGCCTCATCCTTGTTTTCGGGTGACGTAATATTTTCCTGCTGTATGACAAAAATAATCAAGTAACTACATATTGATAGTTGATGATGATAAGCTTTGTGATAATGTACATATCAATGGATGATCTTTAATTTATTATAGCGACAAAACGTTGAAATACATATGCAATATATATACAGTAGAACCTCGATGAAGAAGACGGTGATTTTCAAATCCCCTTGAAATTATTTTACCCCTAATCACATGTTATTGCAAACCTCGATAAGAAGTCAACCTTGATAACAAGTCTTTTTTTATGATCCCTGTGAGAGTCGTGTTATCAAGATTCTACTGTCTAACCTTGATATAACGAGCCTTAATATGACGAATTCATTGATATAACGATTTTTTTTAAACCCCTAGAACCCTCTGTAAGACGCAACGTATATCTTACTTCTATATAACGGACAAACCATATCAAAAACCTTGAATTAACGAGATTTTGTCAATCCCAGCTAAAATAAGACATCTCAATATAGCGAATGTAGCCTCTACTAAACCAATTTTTGCGCCTTTCCCATGATATAACAAACCCTAATCCCCATTTTTTTTTTTTTAATAAAAAATTAATGTGTTTCGATAGATTATAGGTGGGTTAGAGTAAGCTGTGATTTTAAAGGATACGGTTTGTAAACTGAACCAAGGTTAATGACTTAAAATGTGGCGGCTTGATGGCGGAATATCAATGATTCTGTAGTTTTATACTTTGTTTATTACAAATGTAAATTGAGACATTATTAGAAATTTTTATTTGCACAGTAACGTATTACAGTGTTTTTATGGGTTAGTCATTTTTTATACCATGTTGGATCAACCATTATTTTCCTCTCCATTTTCCCCTCCAATTTATTATTCCGGATAATCGAGGTTCTACTTTACAATGACAATACTATACTGTAAAGAATTGTAGCCTATGCTACTTAATTGTGTTTTAATGAGGTCAAATATCGATCTCTAAATTAACTGATGTTGTTTCTGAACCTCGACTTAGTGAAATTACTGCAAACCTAACCTCAATATAACAAACCTCGTTTTAACAAAATCCTTGATATAACGAATATTAAGATCTGTTCAGTCACTTCAGATTCGTAATACAGAGGTTGGATTGTACTAGTGCACATTTATTGTGAATTTTTAAAATCTAGCTCATTTTTAGAAAAAGTAACTTAGGCTAAATCAAACAAAAAGTTTTTTGCCCTAATAAAATTTCAACCAGAAAAATGGGGGATACATATTTGTTGATTAAAATTTGTTGGTTTGATTTATTGTATAAGATCAAATAAAAATAGATTGGAACCTTCTTAAGGGCATCATAAATCAATTATTTGTAAAAAAAATACAAATAAAAAACACTCACAGGTTTTTTAGTAGTACCAGAAGCCTCATCATTGTTTTCAGGTGACGTACTATTTTTCTGCTGTATGACAAAAATACTCAAGTAACTACATATTGATAGTTGATCATAAGCTTCATGATAATGTACATATCAATGGATGATATAACCAACCTAGATATAACGAATTCCTTCATATAACGAATTGTTTTAAATCCCCTAGAACCCTCCATAAGAGAAGATGCAATGTATATTTTACCTCTACATAATAACCTAGGTTGGAGTGTACTGCTGCACATTTTTTTGTGAATTTTAAAAATCTAGCTCATTTTTAGAAAAAGTGACTTAACCCAAACAAACAATTTTTGTGCTAATCAAATTTCAACTAGAGAAATGGGGATTACATATTTGTTGATAGAAATTTGTTGGTTTAATTTATTGTTTAATTTATTTATAGGTTGGAATAAGTCTTAATATTAAATGAGTAAGGTGCGTTTCCCCCATCACCAACATTATACCTTCTAATGTGTCAGTACCTGAGTATGGTCCTTTACAAAATTTACGTAACATTAACATCCAGATTGTAAAAAGTTATTTACAATACCTCGGCTGGACACGATGGATAGTAATAAACTTTTTTCATTTACGACTATGAACTTTAGTATAATCTATTAACGTCGCAATGCTTTTCATTTTGTTCAGTTTTGGATTTGCTTATAAAATGAGAACGGCCAACATTTCTCTCAACTGTTGGACTTGTCTTTAAAGAAAATTTACGACCGATACTTTTGAAATTACCTGTTTCCAATTCTTATACTGCAATTACAGATACACCCATAAAATAATGTATGCGGCTGTTCAAAATATTTATGTGACCAAAATGTTTTAACAATATGAACATGTCAAATAAAGCATTTCAACATTGCACAACATAGTACAATTTAAATTTGGTTATTTGTCAATGTTAACGATACGATACCAAAAACCAAGAATCGATTTTGGCCAGCAACCGGTACGGGTACCCGAACTGACTTTGGAAAAGTGGTACCGACACACTAGTATTATTAGTAAACAGAAAGATTATAGACCAACCAGACCACTACTACCAATATCTCTCCCTCTCTAAACACACTCACACACACATATATGTTCTTTCTTGTAATAGCCTAAATACAAGAATAAACTTGCTTAAGGAAATCATAAATCAAATATTTGTAAAAAAAAAACTAATAAAAAAACTCACAGGTTTGGTTGTACCGGAAGCCTCGTTCTTCTTTTGCTCTGGTGTTTTATTTTTCTGCTGTATGAGAAAAATGTTAAGTATAGGGCTACTACATATTATTGTCATGAAAATGATGATAATGGCATAGGCCTATGAATGGATTGGGTTTAATTTATTATAGCAAAAAAAGTTTATTTGCATATGCAATATATATATATGATTATGATATTATGATGAGTCAGCAACAAAATACATTGGATCTGGAGTGAGTAGCAATACATCCAACCGCAGATGGACATTAAGTCGCTCAATTAATTGTAGGATTTAAAATTTTTTTTTTTTAAGTTTTGTTTCAAAGTGTGTGGAATTTATTTATATACACGTATCCTGCATATTATCGACACACATTTGAAAAAAAGTTTCATTTTTGTACCGGTACAGACATTGATACATTGTATCGATACATACTTATCGGAACCTAAGCAAAAAGCTGGCGGACTTTATCACCGATCCATTGTCAAAAAATTAAAAATAATGCCAAACAAAAACATATGTTTCTTGTAAATGTAAGACCACTTTCCATACCTAATTAAAGAAGGTTATCTTAAAAATTTAGAGTAAGAAAAAAAACTCAAGATGCATTGGCCAATTATTGATACTGTAGTGTCATATTCCATCATAAAATATCATGCATAATAGAGCCAGAGGTGAAGGTTTACAAGTATAACGTATGATATATCTATAAGTATAATATAGTAGAACTAACTTGATTAATAGAATAAGAATATTTGGTTATAAATATGGCCAAGCTTGCAAAATCAAATTAAGGGTTAGTATTAAACCAAATGTTAAAATTGTGCATTAAAAAGTGTAACAGAAAACACCATGCAAAACTCACAATGGATACACATACAATTAAATAACATGACATGAATTTACTTACAAGGGAGAGATCTGGTTCATCTTGTTCTTCTGCTGGAGCAGGGGTTCCTGAAACAGAGCATAAAGGTTTACAAGAACATCTTTAATGATTATTGGGGATGAGGCACTATGCTGGAATTAGGATGATTCTGTCTTGATTGTGGCAAATTATTTATTTTTTTTTTTTTGTCCCAAGACGCTAAGCACGAGCCTGGGATTGTTTTTCACATTACTTGACCTAGGGGTTGCGGCATTATCTTTTAGATCAAATCCATTGGTGATTTGGCGGGATTTGAACCCGGAACCCCAGGGACCGAAGTCCCGTGATCTAACCACTATACTAGCTCGCTCCCCGGAACATTATATTAAAACCACAATTATTTGATTTTGTGAGATTCTGTACAAGTAAATGATACTGGGAAAACTACAAAAACAAATACCGATTTTGAACCAAATCAATATTTTTATTGATCATTGTTCTGGGAATGTTCCAACTCATAAAGAGTTCTCCTTACCTGGGAGGTGTATATTTTTGGTGTTCTACGTGTAGGTAAAACTAGGCTAAATACAAAGCTAAAAGCAATGTGATTGACAGGTTTTGAACCCAAGCCTCCAACCCTATTTCACTAACCCACTAGACCTCTTCCTACCTTTACATCCTAGGATGCTAGGTTCTAGCCCAGAACTGTTTTACACATTACTTCAGGCTAGTCCTAGAGGGTCGCGGCATTCTCACAAAGAAAAATCCATTGGTGATTGGCGGGATTTTGACTCGGGACCTTGGTCTCAGAGGCCTCGAGCTCTGCCAATAGACCAGCTCCCCCTACCAACTAACTTTTTTGTAGAGCTTAAAAAAAGTATATTGATATTAGTATATTGAAGCGCTGTTGTATGCCTAGCGGTCACGGAGAAAATTCAAAAATAGTGTAGTTTAAAATTCCCATGTTATTCTTATAGAGAAAATGAAAACTGTCGTAGTTTACTTGTTTATGGATATAAATTGATAAAATTTGGCAAATTTATTTATTTCATCTTATAGTATGGTCAAAAAACACGTTTTACCTTCCCCGTAGCAGCAAACCTAAGCACTCGTTAATTCTAATGTTATTTAAATTGGGAATAAATATCTTTATTTATGGATATATTTAGTAAAAATATAATCGGACAAGTAGAAATTCGCTTAGTCTGCAGGTTTGCTGCGGCCGGGGTATTAATAATTTAAACAATAATAACAAATGTGTACTTTTGAACCATTGACGTCATTCATTTATGTGTATGACGATGCATACCATTTCTGTTCTAATATGCATTCAACATCCCAAGAAGTAATGTTTCGGTACCATAAGTCAATTTCGGTACCACCGGTTTTTGGGCAAAATAATATTACCGAGATCCGATGTTGAAATGTTTGCCTATTGGTGGCGCGTTCTATTGATGGTTACGCGCACAAGCATCACACGAATTGCGGGCGCGTCGACAGACATTGTGAAAATAAAAGTGAAAGTGGAGTTAGTGCCAAGGGGTGGTGTGGCACAGGCAGATACGTAAATCCATTCCTGGGTGCCTGATCGACTTTTATTGTTTATTTAATAACACAGTGAAGGCAAAGGAGAGGAAATTTTCGGAACAGGATGGGGCAGACATGCCAGTAATTGGAGAGCCTAGGACTCAACATGGGGTAAGACTGAGAGTGAAACGGGGAAACTAATTAAATGGTATTGTTACAACTGATTGTGGGATAGTACAGTAGCTGCAGGTACGCCGAGAAGCTAGGATGCCTTTCTCGATTGTTTTCTCAACTAATTGCCACTGGCCTTGATGCTGGAAACTCCCAGCTGCATAACTAGGAGCGTTTCTTAATCACAGGAAACTGCAAGGGCGTGAAGCGAGTAGAAACTAGAGAGGAAACCAGTAAAGGATGATACAACGATGAATTAACGACGTTAGTCAAATAGTTCGTGTTACATACAGTAAATATCCTCTTTTGCATAGGAATTGGTAAGATTCAATTAGAAAATAAATATATACGAGCGGTTTGTCCGTCATACGTACAGGAATCGATCAGTCTATTAAAACTGTATATAGTTATATCAATATGTATATTCCTAATTCAAGCTTAGTTTAAGCAGTTCAAAATGTATTGTTAAGAAAAAGCTTCCAAGATAAATTAAAACTTGTGATCGTTGATACTTTCCCAACCTTTCCTCAAAAAGTCGAGTAGTAAAGCAATTTTCATAAGCTTTCTTTTGAAGACTCGTGAGCTTCGTATACAGCAATGGTTATAGAATATTACTTAATTCTTATAATCAATGACAAAATCACAGAGTAAATAAACTAACCTCATAGTTCTATAGAATATTTTTATATTCAACCAGCTGTTAGTTATAACAAATTATATTGCACTTAGATGTTCTAATTTATTTTTTAAACAGTCTTTAAAATCCTTAGTTTGTTTACCATGTATATTTAAATTATCCCTCATATTCTAACCGAATAAATTAACGTATCAATGATTATAGCATTACACATAGTATAAATAAGTCAACATACATATGTCATTACATTTTCATCAAAATTCATGTTTTCGACTATATTTCTTAGACAATAATAGGTTTTTTACATACCTCCGTCAAATAGTCCGACAAATGATATTGCTCAACAGCTTACATGTTTCGTTGCGAAGGCAACATTTTCAAAGCTTGCAACTCGTCAAAAGCACATTTAAAACATTGACCTATTTGTAATTTAAAACATTTAAATGTGCTTTTGACGAGTTGCAAGCTTTGAAAATGTGGTCTTCGCAACGAAACATGTAAGCTGTTGAGCAATATCATTTGTCGGACTATTTGACGGAGGTATGTAAAAAACCTATTATTGTCTATTTCATTTTCATCCTAATGCTGAATTTGTGTTAAAAACTTTGAATGTTTACAGCTGTTACGTTAAGCAAATGGTATTATACCAAAAGCTAGAGTAGAATGTTAGCGTCGGCTGCTAGACTTTTTCAAATTTGAAACTTAATTTCTAAAAAACTGAAACCCTAAACTTAAATTATGGCTTCGACATTCCCTAGTTCTCAAAATTATCTTTCTCTCAACACAAAAATCATGAAAATCCGCCAAGTAGTTGATTCAGAATCGTGAAATAAAAACGCAACGATTGCGTAAAGATAGTGTTAACGACACGAGTAGAAAATTTAAGACTAGTCTACTAGACTAACCCCCGCCCGATCACGTCGTGTCCCGTTACCGCTATCGTATTATCTTTCGTTTTTAACCTTAAATGTTCGTTTCTATGTTCGTGTACGTGTGCGTGTTAAATGTATTTATTTATTACGAATTGACGACCTTCAAATGAAGCAAGAAGACATCTGTACTGGCCCGACGATGACTCCTATGTGAGTCGAAACCGGTTGCATTTTAGCAACACGTTGATCACATAGATGCAGGTATTTACACCATTATTTAGTGATAAGATAAGATTTGGTATAATACAATTAGGTTTTCGAGTCGGAGGGTTTTAATGCATATCGAGTACATATCGAGTCTTGTTAGGCATAAACACGTGTGCGTGAATTGAGTTTAATAATCAAACCAAGGGATTTATGACGATTCTGCATTACATTACAAAAACGTTGTCATTGTATTTGGTGAAATACTGTTCTCGAACTAACGTATTTATATGTATTATTATATACGCTAGGTTTTTTATTTGGCTAATGTTCATTTCGTTAATCTAGCCCAATAAATGACTTATCACTTACTTATTGTTCAACCACTAGTCCCATAAACATCTGCCGATTCTAAATTCGGAACTGACGCCGTAATCGGTGTTCATGCAGAAACTAATAAAACAACTCCGGACAACTAACTTTTACCGTACACAACGCCAACGTTGACATAATAGTCCAGTCATTTTAGGGTTAATTCCATAAACGTGAAAACTTTGAATATGTGTTGTAGTACTAGTACCCAGTAATAACATAATATCAAACATCAACATTCGTGCATGCTGTGCTACAAATGGCGGTCGATTGTCACTTTTTTGATCATATTTCACAATCTGTTAAAAATACAGAACTTTTGTTAGCACTAAGTTAAAGAGCACAAAAAATACATATTTGTTGCTTAGTCTACAGGTATGCTGCGGCGGGGTATTGTTTATATATTACACTACACTTGAATCAGCACATTACTGTAGTTACCAACAGTTATTGGGGACGCGGTTTATTCTGTAGTTAACTTAGTTATAAGCCAACATCATTTTTAGCCGGGTGACTCTGTGGTTCCGATTCACCAAGTTGCATTAGCTTAAGTATTATAATTGGTGGTACTTTTGTATTAAGAACATTTCTGTATTTCCAACGGTTTGTGAAATATGGTCAAATAAGTAAAAATCGACCACCATTTTCCAAGATGGCGGCCGTAGCACAGCATGCACGAATGTTGATTTTTAATATGTTGTTACTGGGTACTAGTAGTGCACTGTACAAAGTTTCACCATTTAGGGAATTATTTCCAGGTAGACGGGTATTTTTCCCTTAAATGAATTAACTATGAATCTCGATCGACGGTATTTGAGGTAGAGCTCTTCACGTGATATTACGGCGGAGATCAGATCGCTGCATCATAGATTATCAAACCCCACTGGTCACTAATTGACAGAGAAGGCAGAGAAAGTGATGCGTACAGGTAGGTATGTGTAATTGTTACTTCATTCTGCTTTCTTTTCCCGTCGACATAAATCTGAACGTCTTTCCGTCTTACGGTCTTTCCCACCATATCCTTTGCTGGTCTTCGCTATGTTTAACAGTACAAGATCAGGTTTCGCTGGCACCATCGTTTGGATAGTTATAACAAATCTTTATAGATAATTGAATGAATGGATAATATCTTTATTCCAACAACGTATTTACAGAAATTGTACACAAATATTTAAAGGAAAAAGACATAAGTGAATTTAAAAGAATAAAAATAATTAACCTTTGCATTACATCTATGTTTAACAAAGCATACATATTTTTAAAGGAATAAGCCGACATGGGCAGCGAGCCTGTGCGTCAACTGAAG